TCTGCCTCCCAAGTGCTGGGATTAAAGGAGTGCGCCACCAACGCCCGGCGGAGCACACCTTTAATCCCAACACTCAGTAGGCAGAGGCAGGTGGATCTCTGTGAGTTTCAGACCAGCCTAGTCTATGGAGTGAGTTCCAGGACAGCCAACGCTGCTCAGAGAAATCCTGTCTTGAAAATCCAAAACAAACAAACAAGCAAGCAAACAACCAAAACAAAACAGGACAAAATAATGGGTAAGGGAGATGCTGTAATGGGCAAGAACACTGGCTTTACAAACATGAGGACCTGAGTTTGAATCTTCAAGGCTGGTTAGCCAGCTTAGCCAAAATAGTAGGAATAAGTTGAAGACTGATAGAGGAAAACTGGTATGTCCTCTGCTGGCTTCCATATATGCATGCATGGGTACAAACACACAAACTCACATGCACAAGAAAAAAAATAAAAAAAAAAAAAGAGTAACAAAATATATTTGCCTGTGCACAGAAAGTACCCGTAAGGGCCTATGACAACCAGGAGTGCACATGAAGCTTCAACCACAGCCTCCTACACATTTTATACAAAGCTGGAAAGAAGACAAGGAAAAGCTGCGCATGGAGAAAACTTAGGGCTGTCAGGGCAGCAGGACCTTGCTCATCCTTGTCCTACAAGTCTCAAGTGTGGCCAAAGGGACACATGGGAAATAAAGAAAGACAGAGATCTGGAGAAGACAAAACAAAAAGGAAGGGCTAGGTATCAGGAAGCAAAGAGAAGAAGGTAGGACTAAAGTTCAGTATAAATAGAGCAAAGGACCATCAGTGTCTCCGGGACAGAAGCAGACATGAAGGACATCATGACAAATGCATAGCAGAAGGGTCTAATATGCTTAGACATACCTTTCTTAGTAAACTCTATGCCATTTTAGGCTCTCAGAACAAAAAGAACAGGTATCTTAGACGTAAGCAATTTGCCATCCTGCTCTGGCATCAAAGACCACCACAGCATACCCAGCAACTATGATCATTAACATTGATTGAATGCTGTTCTTGATCATTATAATTATAGAGTGCCTTCTTGGTGCCAGGAAGCCAAACATGTATTATTAACTCAATCTTTCCAACACTGCACAAAGTAGAAACTATTCTTATATTCTTACTAATTTCCAAACCAAGATGTAGGTTAAGAACCTTACTCAAGAACATGTAACTCAGGGAGTGAGGTGGTCTGCCTATGACACCCAGAGTTTTAACTGAGAACCCTAAAAAATAGCTTAATCACTGCACAGGTCTTTGACTCTGCCACAGTTGATCTAGGTTTGAACTGGGACTCAGTATATACAGCCTGAGTAAATCTGCAGATTCTTCGATTACCCCACCCCCCCCCCCGCCATTCCCAAGGTAGGTGGTTGGTCTGGAGCTCACTATGTATGTAGATCAGGCTGGCCTTGAACACATAGAAATCTGCCTGCCTCCCTGGTGCCAGGATTAAAGCCTAGTACCACCATGCCTAGCTCAGATTCATAACATTTTTCAAAATGTTTATTTCAATACTGTAGAAAGTCTCTAGGATCACCAATTTATATCACATTGATATCTACCAGTTAAGATACAAAAGACGTTATATCCATCTTGGGTCATTTGTCCCTCCTGGCCTCACAACCTTCATATTTGAGACTGAGTGACTCACAACTGTTGCTCACGTTCCAAGATCAATCATGTCCTACCGTCAGATTTAAGTTTTTGATAATTCAAGCATCAAGTTCTAACTGGCTCTGCTTGTTACTATGATTTTGCCCTTTTCTCTAATTCTAGCTTCTGCTTCATTGTCCCTAGCCATTTTCTGTCATGTGATCAGTAAAGTGCGTAACAGTATGAGGCAGGTACTATCACTGCCTCCCATGAGAAGAAACTAGTCACAGTGCCCAAGGCAGTTTTCAAGCTGTGTCGTCAAAATTCCATGGAGACTCAAGGGTAAACTGGGAGACCAGAGACTCCAAAGAGGTGACTGACCTCACTATTTCAGATGACCATGATAGCAGACTGTCATTCTTTGGATGCCATAGCCTTAGATGTACGTGCTTGTTTGGCTGAGGCTTTCCCTGTAACTTGGAGATGATAACCTCAGTCACCACATTGCATAAAAGCAGTCTCTGGTGACTGTATTTTTCTTCCAGTCTACGCCAATGTTTCTATTCCCAAATCTGCCAGAAAATAATGGGAAGTTATGATGGTCATATTAAAAATGTTATCATTATATATTTTTATCAACTCCTCCACACTATGAAAAGACTGTAGCACACACATTATCTGATCATTTTGATTTTAATCATTAGAATTTAATCAAATTAATTATATTTTGCTAAAATCCATTATTTATATTTAACTGTTCTAATCTACAATATTTTAAAAGTATTTTTAGCCGAGTGGTGGTGGTGTACGCCTTTAATCCTAGCACTCAATAGGCAGAGGCAGGTGGGCCTCTGTGAGTTTGAGGCCAGCAGGGCCTATAGAGCAGGTTCCAAGACAGGCCCCAAAGCTACAGAGAAACTGTCTCGAAAAACAAAACAACAAAAAAGAAATATACATATATATGTATATAATATTCCAAAGACCTAAGCTACAAAAGGCTTCCTTCCTTCTCTGCTCAAATTTCAGCTCTTCCACATATTGACTTCTGGCAGCTTATTATATTCTGGGCATTTTATATTATATGTGAAAGCAAAGTGACAAAAGTCCTTTCTCTGGCCCAGACACTGATGTAGTTTTACAATGCCATCACCCAGAGTTGCTGGTGAAGAGGGCAGAACAGTTCTGATTAATTGCTCAACTTGTACTTGTAGTATTGAGAGCTCACCAAGTTCCCCCTTTAAGCCAAGTACATACTACAGATGTACTGGTGTAGGTTGCAATGTATGGTCGGTCCATAGACCTCTCACAACAGTTTACAGACTAAGAAATTTTTATTTAAAAGTGCTTCCAGTTACTGCTTGTTTAAGAGAACTCAATGGTATAAATTCTTTGTATGTTGATACTACTAGTTAAAAAGTTGGTTAAAACAAAAATTTTGTATTTTGTGAATGTTTAAATCTCAGACGTGTAGAATCTTAGCATATGTCCTTGGAGCATAGGCATTCTTAATTAAAGAATGAAGACTAATAGCCTCTAAAAGGGCTGTCTTGGGAAGAGCTTTAGAATAAATAGTGAGGGAGTACCTCATTGCAAGTTAATGACTAACTAGTCTTCAAGTTAGCAGTCCACACAGTTTTATTCAGCAATGTATCAGGAGAGAACCTCCACCAAGATGGACATAGGCAGACACAGGAATGGCTCACTAAAATACAGTCTTTATAGAAACAAACATAAACCAGGTTTTACAACATGTGGAAAACAAGATTTGTTGCATATCAACAGCTATTCATTCTTCCACTTCCATCCTTAAAAGAACAGTTTTATCAGCGGAGGCAGCGTGCCGTATCTGGGCAGGGCCAATCTTCTCCTTTGCCAAGTTTATCTCAGACTAGTGTGTGAACAAGTACCTGCTAATGAGATATTTTGTATTAAAAAAAAAAAAAAAATCTGCCGAGACAGTTCAGAAAGATTTTATTTCCAAATTAAGCTTGTTAAAAAAAAAAAAAAAAAGCCATGTGCCCCCTGCTGTCTGGCACAACAAACCATATTGAACTCATTTAAGAAACAACTATGAGAACAAAAGGCAACCATAAGAACCCCGGAAGGGGTGGGGAGAACCTGGGTCTTTGACAACATTCCCTCGGCTACATAAGCACTGGATCACCTAGAATCTCAAGTGGGATTTAAGAATTGTTCAATGGCTTCTCAGATATTCGCAGGAGCATTTTCTAAGTTAACTCCAAATCTGATTCCATGATTTCCATGAACAGGAGAACCCCAGAATGTGGCCAATGCTGAGCAACACATTCTTATGTTTAAGACAAAGCATCCACTAGACTAGCTTTAAATTGTATGGAGTCAAGTGCTATCATTTGTTATAAATTTTATAGCACAGGTTATTTTTCCATTTCCATGGGAGGACATTAAATTCAGTCACAAGACAGAACATTCTTTGGTTATGGAGAGACAAGTGTAAACTGGCAGCATTCTCAACCCTTTTTTTTGTAACCTATGTAGGTATTGACAAATAGAATGTGAAAGGACCAGTTATCAACACTGTAGCTGAGCATAAAAGTGTCAAAGATGGTTTTATATATACATATATGTGAAAAAATTTTGTATATACATACACATTTCACTATTGATCAGTATGTAAGGAAAAATTTAGAACAATGTAGTGTATTAAAATTTACTATAATATTCTAGAATCCAGTTACAAGAACATGTTCTCATAAAACTTACTGTTAGAAAAAGTTAATGGGGCCTCCCTCCAGACCACATTATCAATACTTAGGAGGGGCAATCTAGTTCTAAAGCATTTGTATGGACTATAGGTTAGTCTGGTTCTAGGTAAATAGTCTGTAATACTGGCTAGCTTTATGCTAAAAAAAAAAAAATAGTAATAATAAAATGCATAGATCACAGAAGCAGACCCAACAAATCAAGCAGTTGGCAAAGTAAAGTCGAGTCAGACTTAGAAAGGAGGGCCTCGGGTCACACTCAGTGGAAGAGCACTTGCCTGGCGTGCACAGGGTAACCCAGACTCAATCCCTAGCACCTAAAAAAAAAAAAAAAAAAAAAAAAAAAAAAAAAAAAAAGGAAAGAAAAAGAGAAAGAAAACAGAAACAAGTTACTATTCATCTCCCCTAGGCTATGAACACAAAGCCCTGGAGAGTCTTCATGATTCTGTTACAGAAGTCATTTGCTTTGGCCAAGTTTTTTGTTTAAGGTTTTATCTGTTCTGGTCAAGATTAATTGTAATGCAGGATTAAAACCAGCCACTCTGGAATCATGTATCCTTTTTCTAACCAGTGGAGGACCCAGAAGAAATGGATGACAAGCTTTCTCAAAGGTCCACCTGGTGAGATTTTGAGGTGCCCACTCAAGTGGGAAAGACCAAGGCAGAACAAGGCTTCTATTAGCAGGATTGTCAGGATAACATTCAGGGCAATAATCAGCCCTGTTAATACGGTCTAAGAACACTTGGTAACATTCATTTTCAACAAGTTCAGTTTGGTATAACCAATGCCCTAGTTCTAAACTAGGGAACCACTGCTGCCCACAATCAGGGCAGTGTGAATTATCGGAGAACATTTGGGCTGAGAAAGACAACACAAGCAATGTAACAGCAAAAGGCAACAATGACAGAGAGAGAGAGAGAGAGAGAGAGAAAGGCAGTAAGCAACAACCAGTCCTGTTACAAGCTTCCTTTAGCAACTTCTCAGTTCAACAACACTTGAGTGTTAATTCTGGCTTGCACCTCAATGCAGTTCTTCAAGATCTTGCAGTCTATTTTTCACTTAATTGCAACTCAGTCTCTGTACTCAGGGACCAGTCCAGTCTAGAATACTATCAGTCACTTACTAGCAGCACAGATCACAGAATAGCTCCTTCAAATCCCAGCGTCTTACAGAAAGCCAGACCTCTAGTCTGAACTGTTCAACAGTATCAGCTGGTGATGGTATCACACAAGAGCACTCTGCTCTGCCGGGAAGATTATTATGCTTGGTGAAACAGGCACCGACGGATACAGTGAGTCTTCTGTTGATGCTGGCACTCTTGCCTGATGGCTCTTTACAGTGCTGTAGTAGGGTCAGGAAAACCTGGTGGAGTCCTCTTCAGTGGATCCAATGAAGTCAGTCTTGAAAGGACCTTTATCTGGATCCAGTCACAGAGGATTAGCTGATGTTGAACGTGCAGGATGGTCTGGGAATGCGTCACATACCTGCAAATGATAAAACTTCAGACGACTCATATGGGCTTTGCAATTGCTCACAATACTAGAAACATTCAAATGAGAATTATTTGCAAGGAAGGTGACAACAGTCTCGTGGGTTTCACCACAACTTAATTTCTGTCAAACCAATCCAACCATTTGGGAGTTACTTTTCTGGGCACTAGGATGGGTTTTTCTTTCCTTTTTTGGAGGGGAAGGGGCTACATTTTTTTCCTACCTTTTTTTTTGTATTTTAAGACTAAAAGATCTATATATATATCACTTCTGTGAGATAGGTACTATATGGGAATCCTAACGTGGGTACCAATAACTATGACAGCCTTCCCAACAAAGGCTTTAATCTATCCATGAAAAATCTTAAACTATTACACATTTATTTATTTATTTTTGCTTTTTTGAAACAGGGTTGTTCTTTGTTCTGTGTAACAGCCCTGGCTGTCCTGGAATTTACTCTGTAGGCCAGGCTGCCCTTGAACTCAGAGATCCACTTGCTTCTGCCTCTCTAGTGCTGGGATTAAAAGTATGCACCACCACCAGCAGGCTAGACAGTATTCTTAAGTAGCTAGCCATAAAAAGTTAAAAACTTTTGAAAGCTGAAAAAAGGGTAAATGGGGAGAGTCTCACTGTCTTGTTTTTCTGTACAGGTTGACACACTGTCAGTTTGAGATGACATGTAAAACACTGACATGAGCAACAACCGAGCTACTCTCATGACCCTGAATGTAACGCACATGAGGTAGGGAAATGGGACACATGGATCAAGATGGCTGTGTAGGAAGCAGTGTTTATCAGATTACAGTATATGTCCTGCCACCTTCCAGTAATTTTTATAAATCCTGGGGCTCAATCATGTGAGAACAGGGACACTGAAAAAAATTGTAACGGGGTCTCAAAAGCATGAGGAACTACAGGGCTGGCCCTACTCAGCCAGAGCAGCTCTTGAAGAGACTCAAGGATTTTACAATGACAAAGGGAAAGGCAAGTGAGCTCCTGAAAATATAAAAGCAGGGCCACATTTCTGATAGGAGACAAGGCAGCATATATGCAGTCACGTGCTTTTTGAGGTTAGGAAACTGGGTAACAAGCTACCAATTCAGGTCGTCAATTTCTGGAAATATTTCTAAGGAAATATCTGAGAGTCAAACCAGTAATAATAGGTTTCATTGACCTGCTGACAACAGCCCTCATAATAATTTCAGTTGCTAGAGTAAGTCTTGGGTGTCTAGTTATGATACAGACAGATGATAAACAAGCCCTCCATAATCTTGAAGCTCATTAAACATAAAGCAATGAAAGTGAAGTTATGTAAGTCTGGCATTTAAAAGATAGACAACTTTGGATTTTCAGAGCAAAACAGTTAAAATCATAATAAATACTAACAAACCTGTGGGGGCTCAAGATACACTAAGCAAAACCACTTCTCCAAGCTCACCATGAAGATGGAGCCCTGAAAGAAGGCCCCAGGGCTCAGAATAGCTCTACCCTTTCCTCAATACATCTCATCCCTCCAGCTTCACTGTCAAATAAGCACCACACCTCCAATACTCATGAAGAACATCACCGCTGCCTGTTGAGACAAGCCACCCTGGTGCTTCAACTTCAAACTATAGTAAGAATCCAAAAAGGGTTCCAATCTCCAACCACCAATCACCAGCCTCTTCACTCATTCTTTATACTTAACAAATTATAGATTAGGAATGAAGAGGGAGCCAAGAAACGGTCATGCAAAGACCCAACCCTAATATTAACAACTTCACTACCACTATTTTCTTAAAAGTCCATACCATTCATGTTAATCCCAAGAATCTCAGGCCTTCCTCTTCATACCTTAATCATTGTACAGCTGAAAGTGTAGGAGAAAATACCCAGTATCTGGTTTTATCTACAACCTTGCTGTTGATGTTTTGTCATTAAAGAATAAACAGCCCGAGAGCTGGGATTTGTGTGCTTTCACTCTGTATTACAAGGATCTCATTCGCTATCACAAGTCATCCCATTTGTTTTGTGTATGTGTATGAGCCTGGGCATGCCACAGCACACACATGGAGGTTCTAGGGTGTGAATCCTAAGTAGGTTGTCGTTGGACTTGAGGACAAGCACCTATACCCAAGCCATCTTTCCAGTCTTAAGAAAGTAAGTGAAAATAAAGGACAGCTTGAATCCCTACACTAATGGTAAGAGTGAGAATTAACATAGCCATTTTGGAAATTAATGACAGTATCAAATAAGCTAAGAAACAAAAACCCACCAAAAAACAAAAAAAAACCTACAGTAGGGCCAAAACCAAAGCTTAAAAGCATTCATATAACCCAAGTACTGTACAAAACACAGATCTGCTTTTTTTGTTTGAGAACACGAGCACTTAGGAGGCAGAAGCTCTAGGACTGCAAGTTCCAGACAGCCAGGGTAACTACAGATGTCCTCCCTGACAAACAAAAAAATGAGATCTATTTAAATCCACTGAAATGTGTACATCAATTAACAGTAAGGGCTTTACACGGATTAAATAATTTAACTGATCCCGTTCCATTCTCCTTAATAAATGCTAGTATGAAACCCCAAATCTACATATATATATATATATATATATATATATATATATATATATATATACACATATATATATGTGTATATATATATATATATATAATTTTTAAAAACTGTATGGGTATTTCCTTTCTTGTATGTATGTGTATGATATGCACTCCTGGTGCCCACAATAGATGTCAGAAAAGGGTATCAGATACCATGGAACTGTGCACAGGCATTTGTGAGCTGCCATATGGGTGCTGGAACTCAAAACAGGGTCCTCTAGAACAACTACTGCTCTTAACCACTAATCTCTCCAGCAACACACCTAATCTGTTTGTTTTGTTTTTAGACATGATCTCATGTAGCCCAAGCTGGCCTCAAACTCAATATAACTTTGACCTGCTCCTCCTCTCTTGGCAATCAGGAGTGGTGTGATTACAGGAATACCCACCACTTCTTTCTGGTTTATGTGGCACTACAAACAGAGCCCATAGCCTGTTTGTGCTAGGTAAGCACTCTGCCCACCAAGCCACAACATTTCTTTTTCTTTCTTTCTTTCTTTCTTTCTTTTTTTTTGGTTTTTTCAAGACGGGGTTTCACTGTGGCTTTGGAGCCTATCCTGGCACTCTTTCTGGAGACCAGGCTGGCCTCAGAGATCCGCCTGCCTCTGCCTCTGGAGTGCTGGGATTAAAGGCGTGGGCCACCAAAGCCGGTGAGCCACAACATTTCTAACACCAAACTTGCCTTACTTGTCTGCTTGCTTGCGACAGGGTCTCACTGTGTATCCTAACTGACCTAGATTGCCCCATGTAGATCAGGCTGGCCTCAAATTAACTGAGATTAAAAGTGTGTGCCATCATGCCCCAGTACAAATCTGTCATTGATATTACTGATCTATATATTATGTATAAAATTTAAAAAAAAATCTTTGGGTTGCTGGAGAGATGGCTCAGTTCTTACAAGCACTTGCTGGTCTTATATGACCAGGTTCTATTCCCAGCACCCACAAGGTGGCTTATAATCATCAGCTGTTCAAGTGGACCCAGTGCCCTCTTCTGACCTCCACAGGCACCAACCATGAACATAGTGCAGACAGACATACAGGCAAAACACTTATACATAAAAATAAATTATTTTAAAGTCAAAAAAACAAGAAGTAAATGTTTTGATGTCTCTGGGATTATCATTTTAAGTATTTTCCCCTGGGGTATTCTGGTGTTAATAACTGTAATTGTCTTCCTTTTGTATAATAGCTTCACCAACTTTTTTGTTTTTTGAGACAGGGTTTCTCTGTGTAGTCCTGGCTGTCCTGGAACTTGCTCTATAGACCAGGCTGGCCTTGAACTCAGGTCAGCCTGCCTCTGCCTCCCAATTCAAGGCATGTGTCACTACTGCCCAGCTAAGTTTCACTAAATTTATACACAAAGTAAAATGATAAGCGCTTCATATCCCACACCTAGTTCTGAATTTGGATGGGATAGTGAGGATTTATTATCTTTACTACTGAGCACACATTTTTCTCTTCACAACAGTGGACAACTGAAAACTATGCTAGGCTAGCAAACAGCTGCAAATGTTCTCGCTCACTCCAAACTGACAGGTGTGGGCATGCACATGTCCAATCAAGCGTGCATGTGCACATGCACATTGCAAGCATACTTAGTGGGTGGGGATGGGGGAGTGCCCCAGCAGAGGGGCAAACAAGCATATAGAACTATTTATAGACTTTTATTGGCACAGCTGCATCTACACTTCCGTGCCTGATTCAACTCCAGGCTCAAATTCTGTCTGCAAGTTCAGTTTAAAACACAAGCAGCCAAACCTTTAAAGCTAAAGTGCAGTTTGACCTGATGCCAAACTTTTATTTCTTCTTTTGTACTAGGTAGTTGCATCTAAGTATGTTAGTATCTGTTATTGCAATATCCTGGGTATATATTATCTTCACTAATTGGCAACAAGTGTTTAAACAAGTGTGAAAGGGGAGTTTAAACTAGGTGGAAACACTCCTTGGAGAAGTTTTTAACATAGAAATTAGATTCCTGGGGCAGTTCAGATACTATTCATACTTTTGTTAGTATGTTTTTCTAACATACTTTTCTTCTGAGTGTGAAAATAAATCTTTTCCTACTTCACACTTCCTTCCAAGTTATTTTGATGACTCTTACATTTTAGGATAATCATATCGGGAAACAGCAATGCAAAGCAGAGTTTGCTAAGAAATCGAATACTGG